TCGAAATATATATATATATAACGGTATCTATTGGTATAGTTTATACAGCAATTTTCTTTCTATTGTCATTTTTCTTCCCTGAAAATAATATAATAGTAGAAATTAGCTGGAAAGAAAATAAAACTTTTTTATACTGATTTAAAAATGACTAATTTACTCCATTACTCTTCCAACATTCAGTATTAAAATTGATTTTCGCAATAGTAGATAATAATTGTTTTTCAGAGCACATTTGCCAAATTTATTAAACGCAGTCTTTTTATTTTCTTGATATTATATTGTTACTGGATTCACAATTAATTAAGAATACCATCTGATGAGCTACAAAGTTAGTGAAAAATAATTACTACTGCCGAAATTAATTTCCGGTCAAACCGGAAGTTGAACATATCAATGAATGTTAATGACAGACACATAATATCTGGGATCATATCTACTTTATATTGTAGGTACTTACCGATATTACAAGTCGGTCCCGTCCATCCAGCCATGCATTCGCAACTGAACGACCCCCCAACCTCCAAACAAGTGCCCCCATGTAGGCACGGTGCAGGAGCGCATGGATTGTCGACTACTTCGCAGTTAGTGCCGGAGAATCCCTCGGGACAAGTGCACAGGTACTTGTCGGGTGCTGTGTTCTCGCAAGTTCCGCCATTTAGGCAGGGTTCATGGGTCCCGCAGTAATTCAGATCTGGAAATTAAGGAAAATAGTTTAATTTATTAAGGAAAACAGCAATTACTTTTTTAATTTGCCATCCTCTTGTATACGAGTAGTCCTGGTTACTTAATTTAGAGACTTCTTGTATATTCTACAACTTGCGGCTTATATCATGTCTCAGGTTCTTAAAACAGATATTGACAAAAACAACCAGTGATGATACAAACAAATGCGATTCCGTATATGGTGTATTAGATAAACGTGCCACAATCTAAGTTTAATAAAAAAATAAAGCTGTTTTTTTCCCACGTACTATTTGAGTATTTCGTTGGTTGGTTGTTATCTATTTTTGGGGACACATGATTTAAGAGGATAAACAGCTTGGTTCGACAATTATTAGTTTTTAAATAAGCTATTGTTGCAAAGCTGTATTATTTTAGGTCACAATTTTTTGAGGATAAGATTTTGAAGTCCTTCGCAAAAAATTGGAGCTGAGTGTGCCAGATACTATTTCCTTAGTTTTGCTTTTTGTTCACAGAGACGCATAATTAGTTTTTACATACTATAAAATAATATTATTTAATCCCTATTACAAGAATTGTAAAAATGAAGTAATCTATGTATCAAACAAAACGTTTTCTTATGTTCAAATATACAAGTATAAATAGGATGTTTTCTTTAGAAAAAAGAATTAATTTATGCATTCCCGAAAATGGTAATCATTTTGAAACTGCTGCTGTAAACAGTTTTTTCTTTGTTTAATGTTAATTGATATGATTTTAAACCTCAAACTCGTGGGAATAATATGGCGCATCCACCTTTGCTCTTTTTCTCAAAAGTGAAGCGGTTTAGGGTTTAGCGAATTTTGTCAAGAGTAGATGTTTTATATCGAATTAAAAAGTAAATATCAAAATTAAGGATACCAAGACGGCAATGTATGTACCTGAAATAATCTGGTGTGCACCTCAACAAACGCACTGAATAACTTACAAACCAAGTAAATGAGTATATTTAAAGTTTCTCAATTCATATGACCATCAAATTTCAATACTACATTTACTTTTAGAGAATTACTTCTCTTTTACAGAATTACTTCTAGAGACACCGGCAAAATACATTAAACATTAACTATAATGCCTTGTACTTTGAAAACAAAAGGTAACAAATCAGTAGTTTATAGCAAAAAATCGAGAATGCCACTCAGGTGAAATGAATTAAAATTAAATCGCTAAATTAAGATGTTGGTGGATTCACAAACTGTCAAACAAAAAGATCTTACAGGGTGTCCTACAATATGTGGGGAATTTGGCTCACTGAGATGATTCTTGCTAAGAGTTGCTAAATTGCGTCATTTTTTAAATAAATGCTGGATTTTTGCTAAAAGTGGTACAACATGAAATTATGGATTGAAAAAAATTATTCAATTAATGAATGAAATAAATATTATTTGCATGACTCCTCTGAATTGTTTTCCGGACACGTTTATAACAGGGCATCCCAGAATATGTGGGCAATTTCTTATTTATACAGGGGACGTTAAAATAACATGATAAGTTCCTATAAAAATTTTCCTTCGATTTTCTTTGCCACCAATGGACCAATGTAGCACAATAATGTCAATTTTTTTTACACCCTTTACAATAGAGGCACAAAAATAATATTCTTAGATAGCTTGAACCTTAAACTAAAAAAAGGAACTCTTGGTTGATACCGATAAAATGATCTGTAAAAAAACTATTGTTGTTGAATATGTTATATCCGTAAAGAGAAGTAAAGCGATGAAATTTGTATTCTTTCTGTGTCTATCTAAAAAAATAATAGGAACTTGTCATGTTATTTTAACGTCCCCTGTATAAATCCGAGATTGCTCACATATTCTGGGATACCTGTCCTGTTATAACCGTGTTAAGAAACTAGTCGATTTTGGATCACAATTCAGGGGAGTCATGTAATTAGTATTTATTTCATTCATACATCATTAATTGAATATTTTTTTCAAAACATAATTTCATGTTTTGACACTTTTAGCAAAAATCCAACATTTCGTAATTTATTTAAAAAATGACGCAATTTAGCAACTTTAGCAAGAATACATAATCATAACGGTGAACCAAAGGACCCCGCACAAATCTTATGGAAATTGGGTCCCGGTCAAATTCGCTGATTTTTTGATATGTGATAGAGTTCATCATACTGGTCAATTGTCTCAATGGCCACAAAGCTCAAAAATGGATAGTTTGACCGGTACAGAGGTTTAAAGCTCCGAATATCCTCCACGGATTTATGTATATGCGCAGTGTGTATAGACTTTTGAAATAGCCTATTTCATTTTTTTTATTATCTAGGTTTATATTTTTGAGGTTGCTGAATTCAGATCTGTTGTTAGATTTTCAAAATTGACAGTTGGCAGCTGTCAAATAGCTGTCAATGTGCTATAATAAAGCCAAAAACTTGTTTTTTTATGTTTTATCTTTCTTTTTTTTTAGTTCGATAAGTTCAAAGACGATCAATAAAGACGAAATCAATAACAATGACTATCGGCAGCTGTCATTTAGCTGTCAACAATTCTTCAAAGTCCGGTAATAAAGTCAAAAAATTATTTTTTGTTTATAACTTCAAGTTTTTTAGATAAGTGAATATAAATATGATATAAAATTATGTAGTAATCAGCTTACAGCTGTCAACAAGCTGTCAACTAACTGTCAAAATGCAATAATAGAGCAAGTAACTTATTTTTTGTGCTTAACTTTGTGGATATAAGTTTATGACATCACTTTTGAACTCGGTGATCTAAGCAACTTAAAGCTTTTTAAAAAAAGTAACTTTTTGACTTTATTATTGCATTTTGACAGTTAGTTGACAGCTTGTTGACAGCTGTAAGCTGATGACTACATAATTTTATATCATATTTATATTCACTTATCTAAAAAACTTGAAGTTATAAACAAAAAATAATTTTTTGACTTTATTACCGGACTTTGAAGAATTGTTGACAGCTAAATGACAGCTGCCGATAGTCATTGTTATTGATTTGATATCGTCTTTGAACTTATCGAACTAAAAAAAAAGGAAAGATAAAACATAAAAAAACAAGTTTTTGGCTTTATTATAGCACATTGACAGCTATTTGACAGCTGCCAACTGTCAATTTTGAAAATCTAACAACAGATCTGAATTCAGCAACCTCAAAAATATAAACCTAGATAATAAAAAAAATGAAATAGGCTATTTCAAAAGTCTATACACACTGCGCATATACATAAATCCGTGGAGGATATTCGGAGCTTTAAAGCTCTGTACCGGCCAAACTATCCATTTTTGAGCTTTGTGGCCATTGAGACAATTGACCAGTATGATGAACTCTATCACATATCAAAAATTCAGCGAATTTGACCGGGACCCAATTTCCATAAGATTTGTGCGGGGTCCTTTGTATAACAGTTTGGAAAAAAAAAATGAGACCGATAATGATCCTGTATGTAACAAACCTGTCTGATGCACATACCTTTAAAATTACTTCATTCGTTTTTTGTAAACAAAAAGAATGTTTTATTTTCATACTGCAACATTCTATATTTGGAAAAATGTTTTGTTGACTTATGATGCAGAATACGCAAAATAATATATTAATACAACACGTGGCCGATATTGCTTCTACAAAAATATAACACCATGAAGATGGAGATCTGAATTAAAAAAAATATTTTCACAAATCACTATCTCATAAAAATATCCTGTCATAGCCTACATAAATGGTTTAATATTGGTGATGTTAAGATCTAGGGATTTTTAGTTGAAAGTGCCAGCCGTGCTATGTTGGTTGCCTAAGCTAAGCGTCACGTGACTTGTATTCATTTATGAAGGCTTTGTAAATTTTTTGTGTTTTACTTAACAGCACTACCAATAATTTCAGTAATAGAAAGGGAGTTTTTAAAAATTACAAAGTGCAATGATGTCCAAATTAGTGATCATTAAATCGCAAATAAAAACTGCAACAGGAAACAAACATGCAACCTGCGGTTACTAAAAAATCATACAAATATATTGAAGATATTTTATTTCTATTCCTTTATTATACATATTATTCTTAACGTTTCGAGATAGACAAAGTTGGCATTCTTTTATCGCAAAAAAGTGAGAATAATAATTAAATAAGTTCTATTAGACAAGTGGCATGATACTTTAACCGGTTTAGAAAATATTTAAAAAAGCATTCCCAACACTATCGACTATTTCCATTTGTTAAATTGTCAAAATTGGTCATCACTTTATACGAATTTATTATGTTAATTTTAATCTACAATCTTGAATAAAGATTTGTCTTTTGTAGGAATGCGTGCCAAGCTGCAATTGTAATAATAAGAAACGACAAGCGTTTTAATGTTATAATACTTACGGCAAGAATGCTTAAAAATCCTCATGAACTTTGTTAAATAACAACTGCAATAATTATTCTGTTTGCACTTTGTAAATGCAGATCCGTATGCCCAGATAATACCTTGCAATAATATATAGAATGTATTCGATTAAGAAAATTTATTCCAATAGTTAGTTAAATTAAATGTGGAAGTCGGATAAACACTTGACCAAAAATCTATAAACCCTAGTCGTATTGAGTTATCACGCAAAGCTTGTCCCTTTTTTCGACACACGTCATAGTCAATGAGCCATGAAGAGGGATCGGCCGCAAATGCATTAAGTTAACAAAAGGTTTTAATAACGCCCTTATGGTTAAAAAATGCATGATGGCTTATGATAGAAATACTCTAAGCCTATTGATTGAATTGGATCATGGGATTAATGTTATGAAAATGATACTATAGCTTTAACACTCTAAGCATTGTATTAGTAAGTGTTTAACATTAATAGAGTTGTATACTTTATAATTATTTTTATTTTTAAAAAATGTTCCTAATTTACTGATAAAATCATTTAAAGTCGTTGGACCTTGAAAATTTGAAAATGTTCAGTTTTTCGGTAATATTGTAAATGCAATTAAAAATTTTCAGATTCATTTAAAGCCATTTGACCTT